TTATTGTTGTTGTTGATATTACTATTAATTTCATTTTTATCATTATAACTATTATTTTCATTATTTTCATTTTAACTTTTATTTTTATTATATTCGTTATAACTGTTATTTTCCTTAATATTGCCATTATCACTATTATTTTCTTTATCATTCGTACTACTGTTATTATCATTATCATTACTAGGTCTCCCCCCCCCTGTCTATCTCTTCTTTTCTATTGTATACTTCATTCTATGTCTTCCCTCTCTCTCCTTCTCCCCCTTCTCCCCTCTTGCCCCACTACCTTCCTCCTCCCCCTTTTGCTCTCCCGCCCACGTGTTCCCCTCCTCTCCTTCCCCTAACCCTTTCTTCCCCCCATCCTTCCCTTTTCTTACCCACTCCTTCCCCTCATCCTCCACGCCTCCCCTGTCCCTCCCCTCGCCTCTCTCACTTTCCCCTCTTCCCTTCATTCTCCGTCCAATCCCTTCCTCTTTCCTTCTTTCCCTCCATCCCTTCGCTCTTTTCACCTCTCTCTTTATCCATCCCTTTCCTTCCCCCTTCTCTTCATACCCCACTAAATTCGCTCTCCCTCACCTCTCCTTTTTCTTTTTCTTTTTCTTTTCCTTGTCTATTTATCTATTTCTCTTATATATATATATATATATATATATATATATATATATATATATATATATATATATATATATATATATATATATACATATATAATATATATATATATATATATATATATATATATATATGTGTGTATATATATCTGTGTGCGTGTGTATTTGTGTGAATGCATATATAAAATGCTTTTATTTTCATCTATGTTTACACGTTACTGTGTTTGCGCTTGTCTTCATATATGTATGTGTGTGTGTGTGTGTGTGTGTGTGTGTGTGTGTGTAGTATATATATATATATATATATATATATATATATATATATATATATATATATATATATATATATATATATATATATAGAGAGAGAGAGAGAGAGAGAGAGAGAGAGGAGAGAGAGAGAGAGAGAGAGACATATATGTAATATATTTATATATAGATATATATACATATATACATACATACATATATATATATATATATATATATATATATATATATATATATATATATATATATATATATATATATATATATATATATATACATGAGCGCCGACAGGGGGTGTAGCCGGCGCAACGACTCCGGGGGCCGGATTCTCAAAAGAGCCTTAAGTTAAGGCGCGCTGGAGGCCTTAACCGTCCTGCGGCGACCCAAGTTAAGGCCCGTCAAAGGCACCGTATCTCGGACTTAGCTTCGTAAGCACAAACGTTTTTTTAAGGCGCCTTATCTCTTCCTTAAGTCCCTCAGCTCCGCAAATCACTTAAGGCGTCGGATCTTCGGTGGCCAATCACAGCTGCCGTTTCAGGCGGCTCTTAGGGTATCTTGACCAATAACAAGCCGTAAATGCCAATCAGCTGATTTCGTAAACACAACGCTGTGTCCACGCCGTGGCATGATAAAACTTTTCAACATAATTGGTATTATTGAAAATGCAACCCCATACCTAAATTAAAGAATCTGAGCTTACCCAGTAGTAGTAAACATCATTCTAAGAATTTGCCTGTACCATTTTCTGCGCAAATTGATAATAACGGTGTTACAGAGGGTATAAAATGCACGATTTCCTTATGAACGCCGCGACAAATGACAAAAAGTCGTTAAGAGGGAAATCATGTGAGCCAATTAGATTCGAGCGTGACCGTGATGTGAACATAGACACAGTAGAACCAAACAGATATGGAATAGGTCATCACGTGGCAAAAGAAATGTGTCAATATACTATGCTTGTTAGTATTCTACCGTTATTTCTCGAAATTATCCCCCAAATTAACTGATATGCATCATGCCCTCCCCAGCTATCAGGACCCATATCGTAGTTATACTTCGTTTGCGAAGGAAATGAGCGCTAGATTCGCTCGGAACACGACGAAAGCTATTATAAAATTATTCTATTCACTCAAAAAATGGTGTGTGGTTGCATCTATCGGGAAAAGCAAATCACAGTTATGTTGCAATACTACGCTTGTTGCCTTATCTAGGAGTCCACAATTAGTTTATGTACACCTAATGGCATTATAATTGAGTAAAATACAAATTGTAATGTATTAATTGTTCTAGGGCTGAAAAATGTCATTTATGCTTCGCCGCAATTCGCTAAAGCTGCTCTCCCCCTGCCTTAACCGAGGGCGCCTTAACTCGCACCAATATGGCGGGTCCCTTGCTCTGTGCATGGGCCGTAAGATCGCTGGCCGTAAGTTAAGGCGCCTTAAGGAGAATCGGCGCCTTAACGCGTTTGAGAATCCGGCCCCGGGGCCCGGGCGTAAAATTTTTAAATAGTCGCTTATTTACCTTAAAACAACATCGGTGAATCTTGTAACAATAGCCAACATTTTGCTATTATCGATAAAATAAAAATAAAGTATTAATACAAAAAATATCCTCAATCTAAT